AGAGAGAGAGAGAGAGAGAGAGAGAGAGAGAGAGAGAGAGAGTCCTGTTGGGTTACTGTCAGGGTAACTTTGGAAATGGAACAGAAAGCAGGCCAATTGACAAAAGCTGAGAAAGTCCCTCTCTGGTGCCTCTCGATGCTGCTGTTGCTGCTGCTGCTGCTGTTGTTAATGATGTTGATGATGTTGTGTGTGGAGCAAGCAGCAGCGTGCATACGTTCTGTACGTACGCTGCTCACGAGAGGCTGGTAACCTGGTTTTATTCAGAGAGAGAAACCAGAGTTTACTATTGACCAGTGGCTCCCAGTCAGTAGGAAGACCAACTCTACCAGCTGTTGGTACAGCAGCCTCACTGGGAGACGTCTCACATCCCCCTCTAATAAATGATTACAAAATGACACCACACACTGAGACTTTTATGTAAAAGAAAAATGGGAATATATTTAAATATATATAAAAATGCAATACATTGAGATGATTTCAGTTCTTTGAACATTTGTGATATCCAAGCAGAAGGTCCAGTTGATGACAAGGTAACATGGAGGACATCAACACTCTTGTGTATTGCTCTTGTGGATGGATGGCATTTACACAGTGTGCCTCTGTTTGCTGGGAAAAAGATGCTTTCAACCAGCATGGCCTCGCTGTAACGCTTGCAGGATAGATAATTAGGAATTACAAAATATTATAAAGAAACATTTTTGAGACAGCCAAAACATCTGATGTTGAGGTTTTAAGAGGGTCCTTGGTGTCCCCATGTGGCACCCAAAATTCACAATGCTGGATTCTCTGTTTAGTTTCTTTAATACGCACATATCCATATGTAAGTTTGAATTATTTATGGAAGTACTTCATCCTGTCTAATCAGACTGTGCAGTGACAGCGCCCTCACATGAATCCATATAGTAAAGAACTGGAAGACTTAATCCCAGTCCTCAACTAAGTGGGACTGCTGAAGCCTTCAATGAGCTTCAGATGACTTTTTGAAAGCCTCTTTAAGCAGGATGTGGACCAGGGACTCACATCAGGAAGAGATCACTTAAGTACCTGTAGCATCACATTTACGCACATGGAACGACAGCAGTACCTTCACGAAGTACTTATAATTATGAATTATCTTCAGCATGGAGACAGGATTGATCAGGTTCAGGTGACTCCATATACTAGGAGAGCTGTCACCAACACACTCACAGTCAAGATGCTGTTAAATCATTCCTGAGTGCTGGTATCATCACGGCTGGATGTTGTTGTACTGTAAAAGTCTGATCCCTCTATTAAATTCAGAATGTTTTCATGTCATATATGTATTTTTATTAGGTTTCATTATCCCACAGCAAAATATGTGGAGCAGTGGCATTACTGTGTGAATGGATGTTGTAGAATATGATCTTTGTAATTATTTCAGTAGCCAGAAAGCGGCAACAGGTAGATGAGTAGCAATACATATATATATATATTTTTTGACCACAAGTTTCTGTAGATAGAATTGAATTTCCCTTCTGGGATGAATAAAGTATTTTTCATTCATTTTCATTCATTCATTCATTCATAGATCATTTGTCACACATAAGAATGGAGAAAAGGATTAAAAATCAAATGATGCAATGAGTCTCACACTGACATAGTTTCTGATCTTGCCTCTGTCCTACAACAGCAGGTAGAACTGTTGTAGTGAAGTTATGGCTTGTAGCTTTTGTGTGCCACCCCAAGATTTCCAGGATCCCCATCTGGCACCCTTTATGACAAATGTCTGGAGGTGCTACTGATGAAAATAAAATGATTTGCTGCTGTAATTCAGTGAATGTGAAATACTTTGAGATGTTGCTCATCTTTTCTCTCTCCTCCCACAGCAACTAGTGGAAACAACTGATGCTTTGCTCAAAGGAGTTGTTGGGTTTTGAAAACACTGAATGTTTTACAAACTATACAAGGAAGCAGCCACCAGAGGGTGATGCAGCGGTGAACCTGGTCCTGCTGCAGTTATATGAAAGCTGAACACACAGAAGAACTGTTACTGACAGTTCAGGTGTTACAGTAAAGTGGTTTGGCTGATGTGGCAAAGTTGTCATCTTGATGAGACATTTACTGCCCACTTATGTTTCTCAGCCGTCAGCCTCCTCTTTATTTAACAAACTAAAGAGACAATTTAATATACAGAGGATGATGTAATGTAGCTAATTTTGTACTTGAAAAATTACAGCAGGCAAATAACTGCTTGAAAAATTACATAAACAATAAAGTACTTGTACCAAGGGCTAATTAATTAAGCAGTGTATGTTGCAGTTTTAAAGTCCATAATAGTCATAGAACCTGTATTTGTGCCATTAGTCATCACATGATACAGCACAGTGAGATGAGGCAACGTCAGTAAGATCCATGTTAATCTGTTTTCATTGTTTCAGCTCTGATGTCCATCTGTATGAGGAGAAACAGACAGCTTGTGATTCTGATTTCACAACCACATCGCCCTCTGGTGACTACTTCCTTGTATAGTTTGAAGAACATTTAGTTTATTCAAAACCCAGCAACTCTTTTAAGTAAAGTTCCCCTTAAACAGAAAGAACCCTTAATCTGAACCAGCTTGGGGAGGGCAGCCATTTGTTTGCACTTGTGGGTGCTGAAGGAGAGTTTTTGGGACATCCTGATACAAGGAATTGTAATAGTTGATCATACAGGTGAGAAATGCATCGACTAGTGTTTCAGCATCACTCTGAGACGGGATCCTCCTGTTGACAGTGTTGCACACGTGAAAGAAGGCTGTCTGAGAAACTTGCTTTATGTGAATTAAAAGACATCCTGATCAGAAATAAAAGGACAGGTCACCCAGGCCTTTATGTCTTAAAGACATGCCTGAAGTTTGACTGATTAGTTCGATCTGGCCTCATTAAATAATCATCTCTTGTCATTTTAAACCTACTTTTTTAAAAATGTCATTTAGATTCTTCTGTTTCAGACTGGTGTATAACAGTAGGATTGAAGTTCTTGTATGTATGTATAAGTATGTCCAACCAGCAGACCAAAGAGATGTTGGTTATTATCAATCACATTTAAGAAACACTGATTTATATGATCAATTACCAAAACTGTTACTGATTGATTCTCTGTAACGTAACAAACTGCCAAATGATTCACGCTGAGAGTGCAAAACTGCAGAAATGTCCCATGTTGTGATTGTGTGTCAGACTGTTTATGTAACTAATTACTGCTGAATAACCAAGCACAGGGCAAAAAGAGACGACACAAAAATCTGTCAAATTCCTGCAGTCAAAATGTTGATTTATTAAAGGTACAGAAGTGGAGGTGGATTTAATTCTAACCGTAAAACTTAATCTTTTAACGTTTATTCATTCAAAATTTCACATTAAGTACTTGACTAAATGCTCTTTTCAGCACGACTCAAATCAGCAACTTAGTTAAACCCCCCCAAAGGCTGCAGACTCTTCAAACACCAAACAGCCATTTTTACTTGTCTTTTTGCAGTTCGGTCACACAGTCTATTCATCACTGCCTTGGTCTGCAGATAAGTTCCTGAGTGCCCTGAATCAGGGATCAATAAAGCCACTCCTACCAGTCACACAAGTACAATCACAGCATTTCTTCCTTCTGATCCCAGTTTCTGGAGTCTTTCTGAGGCTAAGTTCCAGACAGTTCAACAGTGCAGAGACTGCATCATCTCCTCAGACCGTTCCAGCTTCTCGAGGACTGTGACTCTTCCTGATGTTCCATTGACACAGTTGCTGCTTCACACTCCCAGCACTCTAATGAGTCCACTGCACACAGATCACATGCTGCTGCATATGAGACTGACATCAGTGAGGCTTCCCTCTCTTTAGTCCAGGACACAGCTCTGCTCCCCCTCATCAGAACGGATCAGAATGAAGTTCCCTCAGTTGTCTTGATGTAATCCTTGAAGTCAGTGGGGACACTCAACATAGAGCAGACCTGCACAGCACACAGAGGTTAGCTAGCATGCTAAGACTGCTGTGCTAATGCACAAATGCTACGTAATTCACTGGAGGCCAGAGACTGATACTGACATGGAGGTCAGTCAGAGGTGGCAGTTTGTTTTATGAAGTCATGGTGAGAGTCATGGTTTTGGTGGTCATTTCAGTGAGCAGGAATCTTAACCTTGTCGAACAGTTATTACCATTTTTAACTATTTTAGACACTAAAGCAGACAGAAACCTTGAACACCGTCATACAGTGCAGGCCAGTTCATGGTCACGTGATCGTTGCAGACTTTGAAAGTGGACAGCAGATACTGTTCTAGTCATACTACAAAAGGTACATGCTGTATTGGCGCTCATTCAGCAACTATATACATATGTAACAAAACCAAAACAACCTACTGTGCAACTGGTCTGTAAGTGTTCCAGTACAGTCACAGTGAGTACAGTTTAATTACATACTGTAGCTACAGGTGACTGAACTCTGTGCAGTCTGACAAGAAGAACAGAATGAGAATATCGTCACAAAAATTGTGATTAAATACTTTCTCCAAATAGTTCAGCCCCACTGCTCGCTGTGGTTTGCATCACTCAAAGCGCTGGGTTTTTAATTACAGACAGTGTTTTATGGAGCCCACTGAAGAGTTCTTAACATCTCAGTCGGCCCTGGCTGTAGCTGACAGAAATTGAGTACCTGTCTGAACTTGGCTCGAAGCTTCTCTGTGCTCTCCTGCAGGTTCGCTGACTGCGGATCATCAAGAGGACAGTTTTGGACCAAACCCAGGAGAGCCTCCAGTGTCTTCACACGCTTCCTGACAACACACAAGTAAGAGTCAAGCTTAGCTGTACTAAGTCGTTCAACTTAAACACAAACGGGCTCATTCACAGCGAAGGGACATGACTAGGTAAACTACAAACATTAGTCACCTTCAGATACAAACTACCTATTTTCTTAGCAGCGTGACAATTTTAGTGACGACACCACACACATTTATGGATTATACTGGCTAGAAACTCCTTTTAAATTGTAATATGTTTATCAACTCCATATAAACTGTTTAAATACAACTGTGTGTCAAAAACTGTTCTCTGAAACCTGTTGATGCAGCTAAATGTGATTCATCCTGAATGTTGCACTCTCAAAAAAAAATCTTAACAAACCAATTAAATTAGACCATTTTAGCCTGATAGCAGCATTCTAGCCACAATTAGTTAACCATCTGAACCCCAAAACCTGAAAGTGGGTTTCTTTAAAAACAAAAAAATCTATTTATTAGAGCTGTAAAAACAGAACGAATCACTGGATTTTCAACTTCTTGAGGGTCCACATTTATGACGTGTGTTTCTATCACGGAAAGTAACTCAATATAAACCCTTATTGTTTCATCAAAATCCCTTTTTTAATTGTTGCATTTTAAAAATCCACCAAAAATGAAGAGCAAGCTGGTTTTACACAGGGCATATAGGAGAGTATCTAGAGTCACCACTTTTACCAGTGTTGGTGACACCAGTGGGCACTGGGAGAAAGGCTGCACATATTGATTCCATTTTCTAAAAAGATTTTTCTAAAATAAATAATCAGAGATCTAAATTGTCCGTAGGTGTGAATGTGAGTGTGCTTGGTTGTCTGTCTCTAAGTGTGGCCCTGCGATGGACTGGTGACCTGTCCAGGGTGTCCCCTGCCTCCGCCCTAAGTCGGCTGGGATAGGCTCCAGCTCCCCCGCGACCCTAGTGAGGATTAAGCGGTGTATAGAAAATGAATGGAAATGGAAATAATCAGAGAGATCAAACTTTTCTTTAAAATGATTTATGACATAACAGTTCAATACTCATGAAGGACATTTCTGAGTTCTCTCTACATCGAGCCACAGTTGCATTGTTTTCACTGTGGTGCAGGACTTGATAAAACATGAGTCGACCGTGGTTAAAAATGTGACAAAAAATGCCCAGAAACTACTTGGAGTTCAGAGGGTTAAACCTTGTTTAGTAACTGCGGTGTGATCTTTAAACTGAAGCTGAAGAAACTTGAGATATTTTCACAGTAGCACACAGGGTTTAGTTAGCATGCTAAAATTCTTGACAGACATGGGCATTGTTTGTGGAGAACATACCTTGACTTGAGATCTGTGTTATGTTGAAGGAGACATTTCCATGTGGTGGCAAACCCATAATAGAAGGAAATCTGTCAGAGGATAGGAGAAAATAAGCCAACTGTAGAGGATTTAAAGCAACACAACTTACTCAGTCATAAATCATATGACCCAGCAGAATGCTGGACCTAGAACTGCTTTCAGGGAACAGAAAAGTTTCAATTGCTGTAAAAAATTATGCTAAAAAATTGTTTTTAGTGCCACTGAGAACCAGATTTAATGCTTTTTTAATGCTATTGAAAGCCTTAATTTTCGCAAAATCAATTTAATGACTAATAATGCTTTTTAATGCCCCGCGGAAACCCTGTATAAGCCAGACAGCAAACGGCAGACCTTTCACTCAGACAGCTCCAGTCAGTTTCACAGAGTTTCCTCACCTCAGAGCACAGTTTGGCCCCGTGACAGGCTCCATGTCTGCGGCCGTCCTGCAGCCCTCGGCGGCTCCCTCTTTCAAACCCCTCCCTGAAGCCCTCGCCTCTGAACCTGAAAAAGAGACACACTCAGCTGCGGCCTATTTCATTTGAATGTGCTGGATGCTGTTTGGCAAAAGTAATAAACAATTTTTTCGATAGCTGTATGCTGATGACACTGCTTTTTACACACATGCAAATACAACCCAGCTGACAACTGGGCTAGAAAGGATCACACACTGACTCAATTATTCATGTCTCACTCCAAAGGTAAATATGACAAAAGGTCTATTTTTCTTTAAGAAACATCCATCCATCATCTATCCACTGTTTAATCCTCACTATGGTCGTGGGGGGCTGGAGGGTGAAGGCAGGGGGCACCTGGACAGGTCACCAGGTAGACTCCACAGGTCCACATAGAGACAAACAAGCACACATACTTTCACACTTACGGACAATTTAGAATCACCAATTAACCTCAACATGTTTTTGGACTCTGGGAGAAAGCTGGAGAACCTGGAAAGAACCCACACTGCACAGGGAGGACATGCAAACTCCACACAGAAAGCTCCCAGGCGTTCAAAGCGGAACGCGAACCGGGGATCTTCTAGCTGCGAGATGATGGTGCTAGAAACATGTTCAATAATAAAATGATTATAACCCACAAATACAGCTTAGCATGTTTTATACATATTGTTGACTGTCTTTCCCTGGATGCAGCGGAGATATTTACGCATGCTAAGATCCTTTCCCATATGCCACATCGTATGACATGCTGGGGGCAGGTTGCTGAAACATTCATTAAAGAAATACAATTTGCATTTTGCAAATTTTAGATTACTTTCACACCTATGCTTGGTCTATGAAATTGCAAATGGCTTTGTCTCTGGTCTATTACTTGACATCATGTGATACAGTTTTCAGATGATCCACATGAGATCATCCAAATGACACTGTACCATACCATGTCACCATACTACATTTGTTCAATCAGCTCTCTGTGCAACAGTCCCAACTGGATGAATCCTCCACCTGACCATGTGACAGGCTGCACTTCTATCAGCACTTTCAACACCAACCTACAAAGTCTGCTGAAATGTGCTCTACTTTGTAATCATGGACTTTGATAGTCCAGCCAATGACCATCATGATTCATATTTACTTTCCCAAGCATGCATTTTTGATGTGCTATTGTGTTCAGTTTTCTATTTTGTATCTTGTGTGTTATTTTATGTAGAATTTTGTATTTTGTCACCATCCTACACTGTCTGCAAACTGCATTGTTTTTGTTCTGACCAGTCCGAGGTTCAAAGAGGAAATTTGATTTAAGCATTAATTTGACACCGTACATCAAATGGTGACGCTTCTCTTTGAGCTGTACACTGTCCCTTTATGAATAAAAGAAAACTGATGCACAATTAGTTTCAATCACTGGAACATATTGCTGACACATCCAGGGCTGAACAGTTAGGGGGAACATCTAATTGCAATTATCTGACATACTGCCATTTGGTTTAAGATATAAATGGTAAATGGACTGCACTTATAGAATGTCTTTTAACCTTAGCTAGGTTCAACAAAGTGCTTTACAAGCATTTCTCATTCACACACTCACCAGTGGCAGCAAAACTCCCATGCAGGATGCATCAATAGCAGTTTGGGTTTAGTGTTTGGTTCAGGGACACTTCAGCATGTGGAGGGGCCGAGGATAGAACCAGAACCTCGTGATTAGTGGACAACACTGAAGTCTAGCTTCAATTCAATATCCATGTGATATATTTAAAAATAAGATAAAGGATTACCACATGAAACACCATCTGAAGTGTGACTGTCACACAAAGAGGATGGCATGACTTTGTCAAACTACTGACATGACCGTTTAAAGTTTGACTCAAAATGTACCAGGTCTTATTAAACAATGATCCTGGGCTTATGTCAGTCCAACCACAGTGTGTATTAATGTACCACCTGGTGTCCATCCATATGCAGATGTACAGACAATCCCGGAAAGTTCCAATGCTCCTGTACCTACATCTTCTCATTTACAGGCATACACCCATCAGCCACAACACCTGAGTGATGCTGTGTATCTCTGGGCCATGGAAGCCCTGATGGGTCCGGTACTGGAACATGTTCCAGCCCAACCCGTATCCAGTTACTGCATCCTGAGGAAAGTGCAAAGTCACCGCCTGCCAGAAACATCCACAGGGGCCGGTGTGTTGTTCTGGGCTCAGTGCAGCTGACAGGCTCCTATTGTAGTATGAATAGAACCGAAGCCGCTTTAGTGTCTGCGGTCCTGAGCGCAGGATGAAGCCGCCTCTGAACAAGTCGCCGGGTCGGTTCGGACGTAGAGCCCAAACCTTCACACGTCAAACATGAATGTACTGACAAAATACCGAACTAGTTGTGAGGACAGTATCGTTGTGGAAAAGCTGCACCACCAGAAACCAGCCACAGTTTACGGCCAGCAGTTAACGTAGAAACACCGGAACCGGGAAACGCATATTAGTGAAACAGCTGCTGCTGTGGTTCCGGTGCTCCGAACCATGAAATATATTTCCCGCCAGCTAAACAAGTCACTTCTCGTCAAGATAATTTACCGTTCATCCGCCAACAGGATGCTGTCAAACAGATCGTCCGCCATCGCTGCCACCTCCGGAGCTGCTTTTACCGGAAACAGGAAGCGGCGCTGTACCGCCTCCCCCAAACATAGCACAGCGGTGCTGCCCCCTGCTGGTCAGGTGTTCTGGTAACCTCCAGAACAGAACCGCCAACCGTGCCACTAGTTCACTGTTTCATGTTTCATACAGTCTTTAAACTGTTTATTCATGTGACAAAACTGGGGCACACTAAACCAAAGATATCTGTCACCTATTTCATGTGACAGTGAGAACACAGTCCAGGATCCATGAGTTTAGATACATGAGCAGTGAAATGGAGCTTACAGCTGATGAAGAGTTGCCCCACACTGCTGCCACAGATACACCAGTGGGCTTTTACCTCATGCATCACCTCATTAATACCTGCCACACGCTAAAACAGAATATGTGTAGTAGAAGTCAGAGCAGCACAGGACTCAGGCGTTTCTAGCGATTCTAACTAGGGCTTAATGTGGGATTTGTCAGATGAGGGAGCCGTTGTTCAGTGAGGCTGGGACTCCAGGTCAGACTGCAGACAGTAGAACAGGGATGATAGTTGTAGTTAAAACACTGAGTTGTGTGGATGTGGATTGTCCAAACTAACACACATTGTTCCTGCAAAGATGTTTCACAGATTAATCGTATAATTGTTTCACTTCATCTCCACCGTATTGGTGACATCTCAGAGTCTATGTAAATAGCTAGGTCCACTAGAGAGAAACCAGAACATTCTTGTTTTTGTTATTTGCATACCTTTTTTACGTCATGGTATGTCTTCAGGTTAAACAACATGTTCAGTGAATTTATAGAAAAAAACATTCACCAGAAGCTGTGAGAAGTGTCAAAGGAAAATAATACAACACCCCAATTATTTGGGACGACACCTAAATACACTGCAGTGGCATACCGTTTTAGTAATATTGTTATTATTACCATTTGAATTTCTTGCTGTATCAGGAAACACTGACATCCCTGACATGCAGAAAAATAATCAACAGTCACCTGCTGTAGCACATGCATAATTACGCTCAAGCCTTTTTAAAATTTGAAGACAATATGGACTCTGCTGCCTTGAGATGCTACTGCTGTTTACTAAACTGAAAGAAAAGACAACAACAATCAATATTTGTTTGCTTAGTGTGACACAGTGTCTGAAAGTGAAATTAAAGGTTTGTATATGAGTTGGTGATGTTATGATCCTGTCAGAGTTCCAACACGGCATGATTTGGCTATCAAGAACCAGAACTCAGCCCGGTTTAACCCCTGGTTTTAACATTACTGATCATGTGAAAAGCTGGAAATAAAAACCACACTGCCAGTCAGCATTCACTCTACCCTTGCATTGGTTATACTACTTCAGATTTAGATGAAGGAGTCTAATGATTGCTTTTCTGTAATCTGAAATCTGTCTTCTAACAGCAGAGAGCACTGTAGGACAAGTGGAAGGGTGACAACCGACCTCTCCACTCAGACAGGAAGCTAAATAAAAAAATGAGCAGCTCTGGTAGTTCATCACTGCTGGTGATGGGGTACAGCCTTTAAAAACAAATGGTCCTAAACAGTTCTAAGTCCAGCAGGGTTTTATATTGATACTACTTGGAAAGCGTTGTCATGTTTTCTCTCTGGCAGCTGTGAAAACACAGCTGGAGGTTTTGGATATGGGACCCTCAGCAACGTTAACTCAGATTAATGATTGAGTTCTGCAAATATTTCTCTGAGGCAAAGACTCACAGTTCTTCCAGCGGGTGGAGACACGTGCAGCAGTCTGAGGAGCAGAGCGTTATCTGTCTGGAACATGCTGACAACTTTGTTAGTCACCTCTACCAACACTCTGAGCTCATAAATGAAAACATCATTGATTACGTTCTGGACCCAGACTAAAAAAATGCTGGGCCTCCACCAAATCCTCCACCTTCGATGCATTGTGTATGTATTGTGTTACATGTATATGGAAAAGCAGCCAGGGTCACACACTGTAAAACATCATAAAGGAATTTAGTCAGATCAATTCAAGCTTCTTTTTTTTTTTTTTACCAAATGTACATGTGAAAGTTTTGATCAGTCCTAAATGCTTGGTTTTTATTTTCAAACCACTTTAGAACTAAAAAAACACAAGTTCTTCTAGCTTTTGACTTAAAATGATGGGTTGAATTAATGAGCAGTTGTGAGTTCACTCAACTCATTAAGTTAAGTTTAGAAGAAACAAAACAAGCATATCAGCAGACTTTTCACAATGTTTTGTAGGAAAGTTAAAACTACCTAGAAACTGTTATATTTTTTTTAGAATTTAAAAACAGATGTGGTGAAAACTTGCTGTGAATCTTTTCACAGTGATCAAAACTATTCTAGCTATTGTCACAGGTCCATATTTCAATCAATCACTAAACCAGTAGATTTGTAATTTGTCCCTCTGTAACAGGAGCAGCTTCACAGTTTATACTGACTCTGGTAAAAAAAAAAAAAAAAAAAAGGGGGGGGGGTTTAATAGCTGAGGCTCCAAGTTCTCAATGTAAAATGAAGAAGAAACTCTGTAAAAACAAATAAATAAAGAAATAACTTTTTTTAAAAAGGAAAAGGAGAACAGACCTGTCTGTAATCATTGTCTATGTAACTTGTTAATTTAACTGAATATGTTCAGTTTATTGAACTGCTTAAACAAATAAATAAATAAATAGCTGAGCTACACTTTCATAAATCATAAGATGATTTTAAACTAGTTATTGAACTTGTGAACGCTGTGTTTGAGTTAGCTTGTGGTAATGTGATAAATTGAAAAATGAGTTTGATTCTATGCACCACTAACACACATACAAAATGACCCATTAAGGCAGCTCTTGTGTTTGCCTGACTCTGAGGTTCCAAGTGTGTCTTTCCATTGGGGTGTTTATAGATGCTGTCTGCTCATAATCCAGTACTGGAATAAATGTTCTAGTGATGCATCCCTGCCTTCTGTTGTGTCTTGGACATAGAGCAGTAAATGTTCAAGGGAAGTTATTGTTTTGGATCTGAAAGGTCAGGCTTAGATTGGGGTTAGTGGGTATGGTAGGTGTCTACAGAAAGTTGTGTCACTGTAATGGACTCTGAAGTCATGGCAACATGACTCTGTGTGTGATGTGTTGTGTTTTGTTGCCACTGAACACGTGTGGACTCAAAAACTCTGGCAGGACTCCAAAGCAACACAGCTGTTCAAATGGCAGCTGCACTGTACTGTTTGTATGCACAGAGCTTTGAGGCAACGAAAGGGAAAGGTTTCTCTTCGTGTCCATTGTGATTATTTAAAAGAGAGTTGGGTAATCTTATCTGTCAGTCAAAGATGAAAACTTGTTATCTCACTCCAGTGAACAACTTCAGGTCCTCTCACAGGTCCCCACTATCAGACCAGACTGACTAGATACGGTCCATACGGGACATATTGAGCTCCATAATTTTGTGCTTTTTTCTATTTACAGTCATTCTCAAATATATTCATACCCTCTCATTAAAGAACGGAAAAAAACAGCTGTCACTGAAATAAGTAGAAATTGACAAAATTAATAATACATTTTTTAAAAAGTAATGAAAATCATGACAATGCTTTTGAATTGTGGTTCAACAGAAATATACATTTTTGAAAAAAAAAAAACAAAAAAAAAACAAGCAAACAAGCACAATGGGACCTGTAAACTAATATTCTGTTGAACAACCCTTTGAGCCAATCACTGCAGTCAAGTGTTTTCTGTAACTCTCAATCAGACTTCTGCACCTGTTGACAGGTGTTTGGCCCACTTCTCATCAGAAAAGTGCTCTAATTTGTCCAGGACAGTTTTTTGTTTTTTCAAATTATTCTTTTCAACCACAATTTAAAAGCAATGTCTTATTTCACTTCATTATAATTTAGCATTTTTAAAAAATTTATTATTACTTTTTTCAGTTTCTAGTTATTTGAGTGACTACTGTGAAGTTTGCCTTGTCTTTAATGGAAGGGGATGAATACATCTGAGGACGACTGTATATACAGTGCACATGGTTTATAATCTGTCGCCACAGAGATGTTCAACTCTCACAACATGTTGCTGTCAAAGTGCTTTCACAATAAGGAGAACAGATGTATGAGACATGTTTGCCAGACTCCAACAGCTTGCAGATTACAACCGATGGCCCAGCTGCTCCGTGTCTGACTCAGCACAGTGCATGCAGTGATGGTGAGACTCTCAGGGAAACCAGAGTTGTTATCTGATGATTGGTGGCATGTGGTCCAAATTAAAAGCATACTGTGGGAAACTGTGTGAAAAAAGGAGGCGGAGACATGATATTATGACAAAGCATGTTGTTTTGATCATAACATCTTTAATGAATTCAGTGATAATTTAGTCAGAAATATACAAAGATTTTAGGACAGGGATTGAGAGCATTGGTTTTACCTTTAGTGAAATTTTCAGGACCAACAGTACGGAGGTCTTCCTTACTTTTTTTGCATGAAGAAAATTTTGGACACCCAGAATTTAATATCCTTACAACAACTTATTTATGTCTGCTTGAATACAAAAGGAAATATGGCTGTGTCAGCATAGTAGGGATAAGGGATGTTGTCCTTTCTATAACAGACCCCTGTGGAAATATAGGGAATTCCAATGAAACAGAGCCTAGGACTGAGCCTTAGGGTACACCACAACAGTCATTAGTAGAGGAGAATGAAAAATTATCAGTCAAACTGACAAAACCTTTGAGACTATCAAAAGCAAAACAAAGGTCCAGCAATATTAAAAAGGCATCATTTCTTGATGCTTCCTAAAACCTGCCTGGAGTTTGCCCACAGTCTTGATTGGATCTTTAAATAGGGATATGTCATAACAACACAACCTTCTCCAGGGGCTAAGAGAAAGCTTGTTGGAAGTTACTGAGTACGGACCGGTTTCTGTTTATTGTCTGTTGATCGTTCTGGAAACTGTATGGATCGTTTCATCACAGCATCACACTGGTAGAGACATGGAATACAGGATACTGTTTTTCCCATGAGTCGCCCATTGGTTTGCAAAGAATCAAGC